AAAGGGTGATAAAGTACTGGAATTGTCTGCCCAGGGAGATGGTGGAGTCACCATTCTTGGATGTGTTTAAAATAAGACTGGATGTGGCACTCAGTGCTGTGGTTTAGTTGAGGTGTTAGGGCACGGGTTGGATTTGACAGTCTTAAAGATCTTTTCCAACTTCATGATTCTGTGATTTGTGAAGTGGCACAAGAAAGGTACTCAAAGAAAATTAAAGTCAAGATTATAAACAGAGAACCTTGCTGAAAGCCAGGAAGCACAAGCACATGCAATCTTCAAGCCCTCCCAGGCATGTGTTACTGTTACGTTTTTAACTGCACAAGCACATACCACTCACCTGGCAGGACAGCAGGACACCTGTCTAACTCAGTATTTGGTTTTGACTTACTGAACACATCATCCCTGCCATGCACAAAACACAGAACTACTCCCCTCCTCTGGTACTTCAGTGCCGAGTCCTTCAACATTAACTTACCTTTGTATCCTTGTGGTTAGCAAGCAGTATGGTCCATTTTCTTCAAGTCAATAAATTACCAAGGCTAAGGTAAGATTTGCACGAACATCCACTAAAAGGATCTTGCTTGCTCATTGCTAAACCTTGCATATCACTATCAGCTTGTTCTCTCAACACTAATCAAAAAAAAAGGAATAAGAACCACATCAAACATAAACTAGTCAAGACATTAACCTTCTTACAATGAAAGAGCATAATCTGGGATCATCACATGCAACAAAAGTTGGCTGCAATCTAACATAGAACCAGCCACTAACAGGCAGGGAGAATGCTTCTCTGTCATCGGAAGTCTCACTTTCCAACTACATGATCAGAACAAAATTATTGCAGACCTTTATATTTCAAAATTATGAGACTGTTTGCTGCCATTTGCCTTTATCACTGAAAACTTTTCCCCTCTTTTGTCCCTGAGTTCTCCACAACTGTATCTGCCTTTGGCACATCTGCTGGGCTCTGCCAGCATGCAGCTGCATGCTGAGGGGCTTGGTCAGCCAGGGAAAACTGGTCCCACAGTATATTCAGCAGTAAATGACCAGGAACAGGTTCTTCCAGTGGAAACATAAGGTAACCATAATCATAGCCAGTGGAAACATAAGGTAGTCAGTACTACCAGTTTCATCTACAAAAATGTGCTTGTTTTTTCAGCAGTTTATAAAAGGAAAGACTAAAAATCAAATAATACTCAGTTATAATTTATCTGGAACATTAAGATACTTACAAATCGCATTTTCAGAATAACTAATTCCTTTATCTCAATTATGAAAATGCACTTCTTCTGTACAAAGATTGTGCATGCCCACTTTGGAGGTGGACAATAAAAAAAAAAAAACTGAAGCAAAGAAAAATAAATGTTCACACGAGGATTTAGGAAAATAAAATTAACATTCATACTTGAGCTTCTTTCTGAAACAGCCTTCCAATGAATAAAGTAGTGTTTCTCAGCTTCTGGTAATGAAGCTTGGCATAAACAGCGGCTTGACTCAGCAGGCTGCTTATAGTGTATGTCAATTCCTTACAGAGTCAGCTCATTTCAGACAGCTTTCATTTTCATTATCCTTACAAACAACATGAATTGTTACCTAAAGCAATGTCATAGAAAAATAAAAAATTAACCCAGTTGTTGAGGAAGAGGCCCTTCAGCCTGGCTATAATTTAAGGAGGAAAAAAAATGTGATGCTCATGACAAGAACACCAGTAAAACCAACCAAGCACAAATGGCAAGCACAGAAAATAATTACTGCTAACAATTCTACAATGTCCCCTTGTATTACATTCAAATTCTAATAGAACACATCCATGCAACACAGTGTGTGCACATGTATTCTAAACAACTCAAAGCTCTCTTTTTTACCTATCCATGATGCAGTCACTTAAGCTCAGACAGGAGGCACCTTGACTTGCTAAAGATGGTTCTGCTTCAGCAGTCCTCAGCAGAAAGCAAGGGGAGATGGAATACACAAGAACAGCACAGAGCCCCCAGACTTTAAGCTATCACACAAAAGGAACAAGGAAGCCACAATACTAAAGCCACCGTGCTAGATTAAGCTGGAACAGAGCTGCACACCATCTCCTGTACTGGCTACACGGAGTAACTGACTGGAGGAAAAGCTGCACCACCTTCCCTGACACAACTCTGGTAACACTAAGGCAACACCAGGCACCCTCTGGGTTCAGGGCCAGCCAGGAGCCCTGTGTCGGTACCTAATGCACAGCTCTGTTTCAGGACCCATAGGCTTAGAAGATCACAACTCAGGATAGTACACCACCAGCCTGTTAAAGCAGTAAAACAAAATAGCTCAGGTCACCAGGCTGGTCCAAGTTCTCAAGAATGTGCAATTTCCTGAAACAGTTCTCAAGTCTGACACTTCCTGGCAGAATGAGTTTGTTTCCCTTTGCTTCCCAAGCTGAAACTTAGTATTCACAGAAAGAGTTCTCTCCCCTCATCTCCTAAGGGGAACTCAAGTTCTCCATATTGACCCAAGCTCCATCAGTCTGTTAAGCAGATGCCTGCCTGAACATCAGCAATCATCACTTACCAAAAATACTCTTTCACTTCAAAGCTGTATATTTCATCTCCATAGAAGACAAAACTAAATGAGCACTTGCTCTGCAGGTATGGAATGGCATTTCTCTATGAAAATCATGCCAGTGCCAGGAAAATAAATAGCTGCATATTAAGAATATCCAAGAAGAATGAAGTCTACATAACAAGCCCACTGTTGGGTATCTTTTCAGGAATTTAAGGAATGCATGCTGCTACAGGCCCTGTGAGACCTTCCACATCCATCAGAGGATCCCAACTGCACAAGGGACTATGGCAGAAGCAGACTGTGGTGCACACTGAACTCAGCAGTAAACTCCACTGATGCACTGGTTGAAGGAGTGAGTTTTTCTTCAGTCTGAAGATCTCTTCCAGATGGCAATCCAGTAAGAGAGACCAACCTCAGAATTTGCTTACAAATCTCCTGAGAAGTGCAAACCTCCTGTGAGAGAAGTGTCTTTGGCACTATCCTGTGCCCCATCCAGAGCCAGACTGCTTTGCAGATCACTGCCAGTGCTGGTTCAGCAAATGCATTTCCAGGTACCTCTAAGGACAGCTGCAGAGTGATCCAAGCTACAAAACAAACCTCATTCAGTTTGCAATAAAACTCACCGATGAGCAAGAACAACAACACGAGGAAAGATGACCAGCTAGTGAGCACATTTATTATCCTAATGAGCCAGTAATCCTTGGTGCTCAAGTGCAATAATCCTTAATCAGATCAAAAGTTCCCTGCAGCTCAGTAAATTACCTCAGCTGCTCCTAGCAGCAAACTGAAAATGGATAAACAAAGGCATCCTTGACTAAACTACACTTCCAATTTCTAGCAGCCAGTAGTTAAAATGAATTTACTGAAAAACAGATATTCTTTTAAAAAGAAACACTGAAGTTGAAGTCCCCAACCTCAAATCAAGCAGATGTTTATCCCTCACAGGCAACTGTATAGGAGAATAATAATTCATTTCCTTCACACTTGGTAACATTTCTCCAAGACTGGGATGACCATTAAAATTTTCTTCAGACCCCTGACAAGGTCCAACATGAATCCGTGGACAACTTTACTGTAGTTTTAACAATTTCCAAAAGACAACTATCTTCTTTTACACCTTAAGAGAGAGAAAGGCCCTGTACAAGCTAGTGAGGGAGGCCTCTGGTCTTTCTGAATAAGGTGAAGGATCCCCAGTTCCACACCATAAACTCAGGCACCTCCATGCCAGCAGCAAGCTCAGAGTACATTCTCCATCAACAGCAGATCAGAAGAACCAGTGAGTGAGTGATCACTACTCTTTGCTTTTGAAGAGGGTTGGAACAGGGAACCAGGAATACATGGTTCTCCACCAATAAAGCCAGGAAGATGAAGAGAAATGCGACTTCAAATCATGTCTGCATGCAGCCACCTGTGATTAACACCACTGAAGTCAAGCTCTGTTAACCCAGCACTGACAAAGTATCTCCAAAGCTTACTAGTGCCCACTAAGGATAGGGCAAGTTTAGTCACCAACTTCTCAATCCTTTAACACAGACACCTGGTGAAGCAGAAAAACAAGAGAGGACTTATTCTGGGAATGGATCATGGTTTATGTATGAGAGAACAAAAAGGCCAATGCACTACTTAAATTGCCCTGGAAAAGGAACAAAGTCAAAGATGCATAAGGTTGCACTGTTAAATACTAGAGAATCCAATTTCGTTCTTCTCTACATCATCAAGCACTGAAAAAAGGGAAGAGGAACAGTACAATAAAATGCTTTCATACATTTTATGGAAGTATACTACAAAAACCAAACATTGTTTTGAGTGACGTTTCGCAGGAAAAAAAAAACACTAAAAGAGTTCCCACAGTAAGTGACTAAAAGTTTCTTAAGGTGACACAGAAGATGACAGATACTCTACTCAGCTTTGTCACAAGCAAATATAACATAAGGGAATCCAGTTCCTCATGGAAATATCAAAACTCACCCATTCCCACACTGCCATGAAGGGCCAACAGAAGTAACAGAGCAGGCAGATAACCACTTAAGCCAGGGGCCACACACACTTACGAGGAGTCTCTGAACTGGTAGAAACTACCAGAAATTAACCCACAAGTATCAGCAGACACAAGAGGAGAAACCAGTCAGAGAAAAGTTATGAAGGTTATAGAAGTGTTGCACTCTACAAAGCAAAACCACTGCCCAATTCCTGTTACCTGCTTTGCTCACAGTTCATTATAATCAGTGCTTCCATTGCCAGTTTAAGGATATAAACTAGCAAAGAAGAAGTACCAAGTATGACTAGTACTCCCACTTCCTCTAAAGATAATTTTCTCAATTCCAACTTGTAAATTTCTAAAGTCTATACAATTTTAACACAGCTCTTCTATAATTACATTAACTTCTCAGAGAATTAATTCCTAAGGTGACTGAAATAAAGTAAAACTGAATAAAGAAGAAAAGTCTACACCCCGCTTTGAGAAATGCCAAGGAAAAACATTTTCACTTCCTATTAAAACAGTGCATCCACATATCACTATATAATTAAGCTAGGCAGAAGATCCTGTTTATAGTATGTGAAAACCAAAAAGTGAACAAACTACAACCATGTGTCAAAGTCAGTAAAAAAAATTCAGGAGAGGAAAAGGAAAAAGGTGTATAAGGCATGCAGGTAGGAAAAACATCATTACAGATATGGCAGTTTTCTTTTTTAAAAAGAAACATTTTTATCCTCTTAAATTTAGATTAGAAACTGAGTATTTAAATACACCAGGCCAAAATTAACTACATCAACATTTGCAAGCTGCTTCTAATACAAAAACTGACCTCTTGAAAAAAAAATCTATTTAAATTAACAATAAATAAAAAAGAGAAACATACCAAATTTGGCCCAAAATTGATGCCACCTTATAAAAAAAGTATTTTCCTAAAGAAATATGGACAGAATCTCAACTTTATAAATATTTTTGCTTTCAAGTTCTAAACTGCAAATAATTTACTATACGAAGTAGTAGAATTCAAAAACATCTTGACAGGGAAGTGTCTATATATATATATATATATATATATATATATACATACATATATATATGTGCTATATTATAAACTTATGCAACATCCCCAAGAGCAGTTGTGCTTATGAATTAATGCTACACAGCTTGTACAAGTGTGGACAACATTTAAAGAACTAAAATAAACCAACTAAAACTATAAATAATACAATATTGGGTTTTAAATGTGAGATGACAAAGAAAAAGTCTTACACTGAGTAAGCAAAAGAGGTGGCTACTGCACACATATACTTCTGCTGCCGTAAAAGCAAGATCTAGTGATGAAATTACCAGATATTTTTACCTTGCACTGAAATGCACAACTGCACTGCTGCCAGACTACATGTAATATAAATGCAAACAAACTTAGCTGTTTTAAAAACAATACCCGTGATGCTGTGCAGTGAGGCAATACTCTGTAAATCATTTATTTCCCATGTAGTTGACAAATCCAGTCACTGTAATGATTTTTCCACATGTTGAATAGCAAAATCAAACTGCTTATTTCCCCTTATTCTCCCTCACTGTGAGAATAAGGGTCTTGCTATACCCCTTAAAGCCTTCAATTTGAAAGTTAATTCTAGAAATTTGGAACTGTAACATCAGGGTCTTTTGCCATTAATAACAACGACAATGCAACCAATGGCTAAAGAGCAGTTATTTGTAGAACAGTTCAACAACTCAGTTAAGAAAGAGTTTTAGTGCACTTTGCTCATTTTAGCCAACATGCTACATTGCCCATTTTACATACAAAGTGGACTCAATGATTTCCACTGTAAGAAAAAAATGACTTGGCAAGCAAAACACCCTGTCAAGCTGCCCTTTTCTTCCTTAGACATTTTAAGACAGAAGCTTTGCAAGATATTTCACAATTCTTTGCTTTTATTATTAAGTGAGAAAGTCTGATTTGTAACATTGTCACATTGCTAGTCAGAAATGCTTCAGTGATGGAAGTCAACACTGGGTCAACACAAGGCCTCATTCTATGACATTCGTTTACAGAGAACTTATAATGATTTTCAACACACCCAACAGAAAATTCCTTCTTCCTTCAGAGGAAAGTCCCATTATTCTTTCTGTAGTGGGCATGTTACTACATAAATGACAACTTTTGTTTTTGGACAAAACATCCCCAATCTTCACGAGAACAAATGGACTTCTAGAGGTGTTACAGAAGTCTTCACACATCATCATCATCTGATGTATCACTGCTGCTTGTCTCAGAATCCTCATTCTCCAGAGCAGGTTTGAAAGCGCTGTTTTTCCAGGGGCTAAATTTAAAATTACAGATGAGGCCATTTTTCAAAATGCCATTTTTCCGAAGGCCATTTTTTTGTAACTGAAATGTGAAAACATGACACATTTAGAGAAGGAAAATGCCAACACAACAATCTGTTGCAATTCAATACTCTTTGCATCTTCACCTCTGGGCTACACTGGATCCACAGCTTTTCATAGGTACACAGAAAGGATAACTCCCCTGTGAGCCTTCACCTCTGGCCAGCCACCTGTATCCCAGTGTCTCCAGCTGTGCTGAACTCCTGCAGTCAATGAGAGCTCACCCTGCTCTCGCCCATGTCCTCACACATCTTGCCCCAGAGATCCTTTCTCCCAAATGGGCTCTCCCTGCAATCCAGTCCCCTTTCCCACAGCGCTGCAAACATCTGTGCTAAGAAGGGCAAAGGACAATAGGGAAGGGGCCCAGAAGAGATGCTGCAGAGAAGAATGGGTATCTCATGCAATTGGAAATACAAAGATATTGGAGAAAGGAAACAGCTGATTCTGCAAAAAAGAAAGGAATTACTGTATTTTCAATATCATGCAGAATGTGTGCACTAAAACAAGCATTTGAAATTTTAATATTCCAATATTAAATTATTAATATTTCAAATAATATTGGAATTACCAAATGTTCACTATTCTCATTTCTGACTCTTTCTCACTGACCTCACCAGGTATACTCAACACTCCTAATTTAAAAAAAAAAAATTAAAAAAAAGAAGGAAAAGTCAAGTCTAGATTACTTTTTCATACTTTGTTACTAGTAAATTAAATGTCTCACAATTCCCAAAAAAAAAAATTGCAGCTCTCAGAGTACCACAGAAACTGCACAAAAAACAAAAACCTTGAAAGAATGAAAGAAGACTCTATTTCCTTAGGCTAAGCAGCTTGAAAGCCTGTGCACTTCTACCACCAACAATACTTAAACTACCCAGAAGTACACCCTAACCTTCCCTTGATGCTTTGTGAATAGGCCTGAGCTACAGTCAGCATTGGTACCCAATTTTTCTGAAGCAACTATACTTCCAAAAGCACAGTACTGAAATGGTACTGCAACAGCAACATCCCTAATGATCAAAATTACTGCAGATCCTCCTCAAAGGAAGGCATCAAGGGTAACTAACTGCAGGTATATAATGGAAATTAGCTTAGTTTTACCTGTTCACTAATGACTCGAAACTCCCTCATCTCATCCTCAGTTAGTGGAGCACATGTTTCATCATTTTCACTGTCTTCCTGCCAGCCCATCTCCTTTAACAACCTTTAAATTAAGAAGGACAACATTAGGAATTTGCTACACACACACAAACACTTCAAGCTCTGCCTACATACATGTCTGAAGACCTGTAACAAATGCATTGATTAATCAGCCAGTATTTTTTTTAACAAACTCTCACATAAGTGTGAGTTCAAAGTCTTGTAAAAGCTATGTAAAGCAGAGAAGCTGAGTTTTCAGGTCCCTTAAAGATGACCCTATCCAACCATCATATGTGGTAAAAACTGTACCTTCACTCTAAGGCAAGAGATCTGTGTCAGAACAGTAAGAATGTGTTTTCTGAACATAACTTAAAGTTGTCAGCGAAGCAGCAATGTATTCACTCCCCTGAGAATAATACGAAGAGACAAAGACACACTGAGGGATTCTGTAGGTTTTCCTGAATAACAAAGCAGAGCAAAGCATAAGGAATATTGGCGGTGTCCCTCAGTGGAATGCAACTGCCTCATGTGATTTATTTTTTATACCACACGCTAATATCAAGAGCTGTGTCAGGTTTCTTTACAACTGAGTCTCAGCCAACAGCACATGGTGGTTTTTCAGCTCAAACTGCTAGGAGTAGATTTTGGGATAAGGGGAAGAAATGAGGAGAAAGACTCCTCTCGTAACTAACCTTAAGATATACAAAGATGCAATAATGAGCTTTTTTGGCTAGTTCCTAAAGAAGGATGGCAGTATCTGAGCAGGAAGAAAGTGGTTTTACATTTGAAGATGGTATAAAAACAGGGATTATCTGAAGGTGAAGATACTGTGACATTTAACAATGAAGGCATTAAGTTTGCTTGCTGCAAAGTTTTTTCCAAAAGGATTAGCACCTTCTTCAGGTAAACCAGGTATCTTTTGACCTTAAACATTAAAACAGACTAAAGTTATTTTACAAAAAACAAAAAGGTTTCTAAAATGTATGCCAGAACTGACACTTAAGAGCTAAAAAACAGTGAATATATTAAAATAGCAAGACAAACTCACAGCTGACACCACATACCAGGCACTTCATTTTAGGCAGATAGTAGCAAAAAATGTCAACACAATCCTCCCCACAAAGAACTCTATATCCCAATACAGTGAGTGGATGTGCACTGGGAAAATTTGCATTTTTAGAACTGTAACAAAAGCCTGGAATTGTAGAAGGAGAAAGCTACTCTGCTTAAAAAAACGTCAGTAGGACAGTAACAGAAATAGAAATTGTATCCTCTGTTGCATTTGGACCAAATTGGAAAGCATAACAGGCAGGAACAATCAAATCATCCAAAACTCTAAGAAAATATATTGTACAGAAAAACACAATGCTCAAAGCAGTTCAGTGACAGTTAGCTGATCTTCAGTTTTACTGCAAGCAAGCTCAAACATAAGCATGGCATTCAGTGAAGTAAATAGCTACAGAGCTTCTGTTAATGTAAGTAAAATTTAGGCTAATAGCTAACTAACTTTAAAGCAACAGTCTGTAATGCTAGCAGCACCACTGTCCCTTTAAACTGACACCATTCTAGAATGGTTAGAAGGATGAACTACATAAAAAAATTACTTTGGATTAGCCAACCTGATACCAACAGGATTGCTGCATGTTGGAAACTTCCCCAGCAGGAAGGAAGCCCTTTTTGTACCAAATGTGCCAATACTTTTACTAGGCATGCAAAAGTAACCTGGGAGCTAAGGTGGTGACCCATTGTGCAATTTACCACAAAAAGGTTTACCACAACATCTGTCCACATGTGTGCTGAGCTCACAGCCAAAGCACTGTGGCAGTATGGACACACAGCCTCTCTGGAATACCACAGAAGAAAGACATTTGCCCAGAAATCCTAACAAGACTATTTAAAGTAATTTGAATTGAAAAACTAAGAGTTAGATTTGACTCCCACCCGCCAGCCAAAAAGTCATGAGCCTCTAGTGGCCATAGATTTCACAGACTCCCAGAGTATCCTGAGTTGGAAGGGATCCACAAAGACCGTGGCATCCAACTCCTGGTCCTGAACAGAACAACCCCAAGAATCATACCCTGTGGCTGAAAATACTGCCCAAACACTTGAACTCTGTCATGCTTGGTGTTTTTGGGAATCCTGTTCCAGTGCTCAACTATCCTCTGGACGAAGAACATTCTGTCTTTCTCAAAGTCACAGATTTTCTCCCTACAATGGCAAGCACCATTTTCCATTTTTGCTATTCCAAATTAGTATCTGGCAAGTTGAAGTCCCCCATTAGGACAGCAGCAGTTGATTTAGAGGTATTCCTTAACTCCTTTAAGGACAGTCAGTGTCATCATCCTGGGTGAGTGGCCTACAGTGGACTCCAACAATGACATCTGCTTTTGTTTGCTCCTTAATCCTTATCCAGAGGCCCACAACCATGCCATCACCAGCCACAAGCTCCAAATATTCCACCCCATCCATTAGATACAACACCACTCCCCCACCTCTCCTGCTGTCTGTGCCTCCTGAGGAGCCTGCCCCATCCACAATGCTCCAGTGACAGAACTCATCCCACATGGTGTCACTTATGGCAGTGATGTTGCCAATGGTGGGAAAAAAGGAACAGAGCAGGGTGCCTTGTGCTCTTCGTACTCAGGAGGAGTAAGAGGAAATGAAAGTTTCTTCTACACACACTACAAAATGAAGAGTTGTCCAATGTATAGACTATCACTGAAAAAAAACTGTCTAAACCATAAGAATCTGACAGAAGACTGGGCAATGATTATCCAGCAGCATAATTCTCATATCTAGCAAATGCTACTGCAGTTGGATTACTGGGATAATAGAATTGTTTCAATCCTTTTCATGAAATTACTTTCTCACCTTCCAGTGGACTGTCTTGTGATATCACTAATGGTGTCAATAAGTCAGCTACAAAAATAATTAACTACTTTAATAATGATTAAAAGCTCACTGAAGTTTTATATAAGATGCAGCACTTAAAATATTTTAATTCAAACAGCAATTACATGTATTGCTCCTCCCAGACACCTAGACCAAAATCAGAGGGATGAAATCACTATGTAGTTTACTATATTCTTTATTAAGAAATAAACTTTTTTTACTTAAAAATTGGATGAAAATCAGTACACAGGTCTAAGAAACAAAGTATATCTCATGTTAAATCTCATGTTAGATCAGTAATTATCTAAAAGATAAATTTTACATTAGTCAAGAAACATTTTATGCTTTCTCAGTTTTCAGATTCTGACTTCTGCACTAGCAAGAATTTATGAACATGCTCAGCTATCATGAAGAAACACTATGTTTTATATAGTACATACCTATGCTCTGCCTCAAGTGAGCTTGAAAGAACATTTGCCTGAGGGAAAGCTGAAGACTGAATGATCTGCTGAGGTGTAATTGAAGCATTGCCATTCTCCTGCAGAATCTCATTTTCAAAGTTTCGGTTTATATCTCTCTCACGATGAGAACTGTTGTTGTTATGCAAGCTGAAGGACTCATCATCCTAAATACAAAAATAATTTTACATTAAAAAATGTAAAAGTGAATTCCATCCACAAGTATATATCCAGAAGTGCTGCAATTCAGTAGTTCTGTTTAGTTTAAATTAAATTTAAATGGAGAGACTCTGTACTTCAAAGGTACTTCACTTCTGTTCTGGCATTTGCAACACCTGCATGCTACTGAATTCCTAAGATACACTACTGATTAAATAATGCAGAAAGCACCTCACAAGCTTTTCCCCAAATTTTTTTCCTTCAAAGTTTCATACGTATATTAAAATTCCAACATACTTCAGCTGTTCTTCATACTTACAGAAATAATGGACTGTTGAATTTTTACTGTTCCTAAGTAAATATCAGAGCTGTATGTGGCAGAAGTAGTCTGAAAATATATGAGTTCTCAAGTTTACTTAGTCTAAGGGACAGGTCACAACACCCATACCTCAAATTCTCTGCCATGAATTCAGAAAGACTGCATACTGCTCTTTAAATTCAGACAAGCTCACTTACACACATGCACTCAACCCTAGCTTCTCATGCTGTTGTGAACATCAACTGGAAATTACTAGACATTAAATACAAATCAGGAAGAAAATTTATTTACAAAGACAACTGTTCAGGTTCACTCAAAGATTAAAAGGTCTTTAGTCTATAAACATGAGGTATTTCTTTTTACTCTACTCATTCAGCAACCCATAATTCGTATTTATGAATGAGCCGAATAGCCTCAGAAGTCTTACCAACTGTAAAAACAAAGAAGAGTAGAATCATTATTAGTTAAAACCTTCTCAATAACAAAATCTCTAAACTGAGAATATAACAGCATTACCCATAGCAGGAGGAAATAATGCAATCTTCTGCACCTGTAAGAAATCATACTTTAGAGCAAGGGATCAACACCACCATCGTTTCCCTCCCACTCATATGCTGTCAGCTTTCAGAAATATTAGAACAGTCAGCAAGATTTTGTTAAGAACTCATATCCCAATAAACACACATTCAGCTGTTACATTATATGCCTGAAGAATATGTCACATAATACCAAGAAAAAATTATAAATTTACTAAGCAGTTCTGTAGGACAAACCAGCTTCTTCCAAGGGTGATTCAGCTGCTGAGTACAATTTGCCTCATTATTTCATAATTCTGAATCTCTAGATGGTTCCTAAGATCTTTATAATCTTAAATCAAAATCTTTGTGTATTTCCTGAACACATGAACAAAGCTATCCCCAATATCCAATATCCATTTCAGGGTACTCAGTCACAGAATACCTAATGAAAAGATGTAGGATTTTCTTAGCTGACACATACAGCTAAGCTATACAGTCCCATTACAGCAAATTGCATTTTGCCTGAAAAAGGATCAGGGTCAGTAAAGTCAATTTCAGTTTTATCAGCAATGTACACTGGCACTGTTTCCTTTTTAATATCTCAGAAGCCTAATATTGCTTCCTCAAAACCATTTGTTATTTCTAATTTATGGGATTTCTTGTTTTAATAAGACATTTTAAACCACTCATTTACAGCAAACAGGCTTGTAAGCACCTCACTCTGAATAATAAAGTACTTATCTTCACCTGGACAATGATAACTGGTATGATAACTTGGTGGCTGGTAGCATTTGACACAAATATTCTCTAGTATCAATCGAACACTGCATAAATCAATTCAGACTGAAAGAAACCTGATGCATATTATACCCAGCCTTATAGGCCTTCAAGCTCTCAATTAGTTAGAACCAGTGGTTTATGCATATAGTGAGCTATTGCTCCTTTGATTAGATAAGAATAGAGAACTTCTGGCTACCTAAACACTAATTAGAAAGGAAATGGTTTGAAAAGCATTGAGAAGCAGAACAAACTTTTTTATTTTGTAGGATAACTAGCAGCCAGGGTATGAAATACTGCCCTTCACAAGTCTGTTGGGACTAGGTGGGATTCACACAAGAGTACAGAGGGAGCCAGCAGTTCACTGAGCTACTTTCCATCATTTACCAGCAGCCCCGGATTACCAGAGAGGTCCCAGGCAACTGGAGGCTGGAAAACGCGATGCTCATTTGCAGAAAGTATTGGAAGGAGATTCCAGGGAACTACAGGCATGTCAGACTTGCTGTGGTACCAAGGAAGGTAGACTTTCTATGACCAGGGGACTGCTTAGGGTATGAAGAAAAGGTTGTGGATGTTTTCTGCTTAAACTTCAATAAAACCTTTTCTTTGACACAGTATCCCAGAGAATTCTGCAGAAGCTGTCAGCCCATGGCTTGGAGAGGGGCACTCTTCACTGGGTAAAAACTGCCTAGATGGCTGAGCCCAGAGGGTGGTGGGTGGTGAGTGGAGCCACATTCAGCTGGCGGCCGCTCATGGGTGGGGCTCCCCAGGGCTCCCTACTGACCACTTTATCAATGATTTGACAAGTGCGCCTCAGTCAGTTTACAGGTGACACCAAAATAGGTGAGAATTCTGATCTGCTGGATGGCAGGAAGGCTCTGCAGAGGGGTCTGGACAGGATGGATCAACAGGCCAAGGCCAATGGTGTGAAGTTCAACAAGGCCCAGTGCTGGGTCCTGCCCTTGGGTCACAACAACCCCAGGCAGCTCCACAGGCTGGGGCAGAGTGGCTGGAAAGGAGCTGGGGGTGCTGGTGACAGCAGCTGAACATGAGCCAGGCTGTGCCCAGGGGGCCAAGAAGGCCAATGGCATCCTGGCCTGGATCAGCAATGCTGTGGCCAGCAGGGCCAGGGCAGGGATTGTCCCCCTGTGCTGGGCCCTGCTGAGGCCGCACCTCCAGTGCTGTGCCCAGGGCTGGGCCCTCACTGCAGGAAAGGCCCTGAGGGGCTGGAGAGAGTCCAGAGAAGGGCAATGGAGCTGGGGCAGGGTCTGGGGCACAAGTGCTGTGAGGAGCAGCTGAGGGAGCTGGGGCTGTTTGTCCTGGAGAAAAGGAGGCTCAAAGGAACCTCTCGCTCTCCACAGCTGCCTGAAAGGAGGCTGTGGCCAGGTGGGGCCAACACCCTGACAGGACACAAGAAATGGCCTCAAGTTGTGTGAGGGGAGATTCAGGTTAGACACCAGGAAGACTTTCTTCATAGGAAGACTTTCTACCACAGGAAGGGTAGTCAAGCACTGTAATGGGCTGTCCAGGGAAGTGGCTGAGTCACCATCCCTGGAGGTATTTAAATGCCATTTAGATGTGACACTTGAATACACAGTTTACTTGCAGGCTTGTCAGTACTGTTAATGGTTGGACTTGATCTCAAAGGTCTTTTCCAATATAAATTCATGCATGATTAGTTTACTAAGCCTAATGTATCTTTTTTATTGTTGCTAAAGACACACAAGTACTTCAGTCATCAACATGCACTAAAAGATACTGCAGAAAGACAAAAAAAACCTACAAACCAGCACTGGAGGAAGAGTAGTACTTGGAACAATGTTTTTAAATCAATCAAAAGGTAATTCCTTTCTTTCATTTAAGGATCCATAGACCAACAGCTATTTACAGCAAAATTAGAAGTAGTTTATCATTTGTCTGAAACCTACTGGATCTACAGCAAGTATGAACAAAAATACCTTCTCTTGTCCATCATGATTCTCATCTTCATGTTCCTCTTTCACTCTATCTCTTTTCAATGCTTTCAAAAATTCACTCTTCTTATCAGTCCGCATTCTTGTCAATTTTGTTAAACGAAGCTGACCAGATTTGTCAACAGGGGATGAAGAATTTGACCGATTACACTAGTGAAGGAAGTCAGAAAAAGAAAGAATGTTAGAAAGGTGTTCATTCAGAAAAATTTTAATTTAAGACACAGGTACCTGTTCTTTCAGATTTCACATATATTCACAGTCAAAAGTAGAGGGAAGATCTGTATTTTGGTATAAACAGTTTGCAGATGTAAACCCAGAGGTGCAGCTTTATGGAGCAGTGCTAGTGAACAGTGGGCCTTCTGAAACATGTAACACCTTTAGCAGTTTTAAAGTCTAAAAGTATCAGGCTGTATTTTCTGATGTGGGTTTTTATTCTAAATCAAACCTACAAAGGAAACTACAGTATTTTGAGGCCAGTGATGTGCATTCCACCTTTTCTGAACGTTAAATTCCAAAAAAACCCATATTTAATACAACTCTGTATAAAATTTACTGGCCATCCTCATTTAAGCAGATTAAATGTTTTATAAATTTTATTACAGCTACTACTTTACCTCTTTCACTGAATTTTGTGTTACAGCAAATGCCTTGACAGTTGATTTGAAAGGACCATATGCAGATTCATGAGGAAACACATTCCCAAGTTTATTTTCTTTTGCTTGGCTTTTCCACTGTGTGGGCTAAACAGAGAAGTAAAGAGTCATTAACTACAAAAGGATTCTTTTCAAGAATCTTCAGAAAAATGATTAAGCAAAAGCAAATCATAACTGCAACCTTACTGTAGTGCAAACATCTGTTTTCTTGTGGAAAAGAGGCTGTTTATGAGCAATTCATCTGCTCATAAATACTGTTCACGCTGTTTATATAAAAACTAAAATTTCAAAACAATTAAGATCCTTATATTTGAGGTATCGAAAATGAAATATGGGACTTCAACAGCTGAAAGTATTATTTTAGATTCAAAAATGTTACAGAGTTAAGAACTGATCCACCATATGCTCCCAAGAGCTTAGAAAAATTCCTGAAACAAAAAATAGAGATTAAACCAGTGAGAACAGCTCAGTTGGTTAGAGACTGGTGATAATAATGCCAGGGTTGTGGGTTTGAAGTCCATATGGACCATTCATTTAAGAGCTGGACTTGGTGCCTTCCAACTCAGAATATTCTGATTATGCATATGGAAAGTTGCATTTGGAAACAGACCAGAATGATACTACTAAGTTATAATGTCATCTCTGTCTATAACTGGGATAAATTCTGAAGGTAATATTATGCTGATTATACCTCTCTACAATGTACCTAATTTTGTTCTGTTAAAATCATACATACAAAAGGGACTGCTATTCCATAAGTTTAAAACCAGCATTTTTACTCTCACTTGTACAGCTGCTGCACTTCTCAAAAGTGGTAGATGGGAAGCAAAGAGAACTAAATTATAATTTAAAAAGAAAAATGCAAAAAAAAAGTTGTTTCTATTCATTTTTGGGGTGTGTTGCATTTTGCAAGTGTTGAATACATGATAATCTAGGAACAGTACTGTCAGGGATGAAATAAACACACTTGGAATCCTAGCATGATTTTTCTAGGCATGTTTTTTGTAACACTGGTATCCAATACTCACCTTTGCAGGTGGAGTTACAGGTTTGGGGACTAATCCTTTATAAACACTTGTGCCAGTTCCATTCCTTACTGTCTGCGAGTGAAGAGTTCCCACTACTGGAAATCCAGATATCCGCAGTTCTTTTGTATTGCCTTTTTTAATGACCAGCATTCTCTGAGATTTAGATTTGGGATTTAAAGGGTACTCTGGAAGAAAAAAATAAGTGTGTATATATATAGATATATCTCTGTGTGTGTGTGTGTGTGTGACTGTGTACACAACTCACTAGTTTTTATTTCATAAGGTACCAGAACAGCCATATGATTCAGAACAAACAGGCATAAATCAGGAACTTAAACCAGTATTAGCTCCACAAATAACATACTGTGAAAATCTGGAAAAACACAGGTTCTGTTGCATTTTCTACAGTCATCATTTTAAAAATATTTCACTTGGCAATGCAGGAATTGCACTTTTCAAAAGAAAATATATTCTTCAAAGAAACCTGCTACACATTTCTAGAGACTCCTGTGCAGTAATTCTACAATCAAAATACTGTTAGTTGTTGATAGTCACTCAAACTTCACAAGCGTTTATGGCTTTCATATTCCCCTTAAGACTTCCTAAAGAATAATTAGTTATATATTTATTAATAGCTCAGTTTAGAGCTCTGCACTGAGGTTCTATAAACATGAGACAAGATGTGCACTACACATTAGACCATGGCAATGACCAGTTTCTCTAGCTCCACGCTTCAGATGGACATAACAGGAAAAAATTTCCATGTTCATTGGAGAACAAATTAGGAGACATACAAATTAGTCAGCTATCTGACTAATTAAATAGAGAAACTGCCATTTAGCAGTATTAAGGAACATCCTTTAAAAACAGTTCTAAAATTTTCAAAAAGAAAAAAACATCTTTTTTTGTACGTGCATTCCAACATTAAGAGCCTTTTCAAGGATTATCTCCTCTCCCTGCAAGCAATTCTACTTCACTATACCCTCGGTTTAAAAAAAAAACCAACAAACCCTATCTTAAAGAATACATGACTTTTGCTTTGTTTAGCAGATAGATGCTACAAAATAGTTATCATAACTGTAAGTTTAATTCTCATTAAATCTCATTACAAGATTTTTCATAATATTTACAGGCTCCCATCATATATACACAATGTAAAATGGAATCTAAGAGATGTCTATGTTTCTAACAGATATTAGAAGGGATTGTAACACTCCTCTATTCTGAAATTTTTTTTCTTTCTAAAGGGAATAATCACAGCCTTCAGTTTTTCAATTACAAAACAAGACTCTTTTATTGAAAGATAGGTTATTACATGAAAGCTGCTAACAACACAAAACCAGAAAGCTGTCCAATTATTTATGATGCTGTAAAGGTCTGCAAAAAACTAGATATTTATATTGAGGGATTGGCCTATATCTAATATTACTTTAGCATGCAAAAAATACTGGTTAAGTATGAGAAAAGAATCAGCAAATTAAAATACCTTTAAAATCTCAGTATTAGCAGTAGTCTAAGTAGACAAGAAAATTAATGTTTAATTGATTTTTTTAAAATAAAGAGAAATATTTGTATTTTGGGTACATTTACTTTAAAACCCCTGCCATCTGAAGCTACCACCTTCTTGGGGTAAACAACTGAAAACATAAAGCCCACCAGAATTGTAAAGTGTTTGCCACACACTCAGGTGTGTGAAAACAATCCAGACTACCGGTCTCCCCAATGCCCCTGCCCAGGATTGTATTTGTCATACAAACAATACACAAACACAACCAATAGCATAAGACATTTGCTTCCAGAAAGAGACCTCTGCAAGCTAAACTACTCTTCCAGCTCTCCCAGGTTTCTCTCCAAATTCTTCCAACTCATTTTACAAAGCCTTCAGCTAGCAATCAATACCACTTATTTAGGTGACTAACCTTCATTGCACTTCCTCTTGAAAATAAAGGTGAAGATTTCTTGACATCTTTACAAAAAAAGACGTATACTTGTTCTGGGAAAGAGTATTAGTTGTGGTAGCATCTACAGACTAGCTAACTGATACGCATATGGAAGTGCTATCCTTTAACAAAAAGATACCTACATTGTAATAATATTGAAATCTTCTCAATCTATACTTTTAGAATTCTAAAAAGAGGCTCGTGTTTCAAATAAAACAGCTTCAGATATCTGCTATGATTTCGCATTTAAAAACATCAAAAATACTCACCCCACACACCTGCAGCTAGAGATTTATTCTGGTTTGGTTCCCTCTCATAGTCAGGATTTAAAGATGGCTGAAAGGAAGTTTTGTCATTTTTAAAAAAAGTAATCCTTGAACTGTGGGATAATTGAACTAAAGAATCACAATAACACCAGCAGCATGACCTCTGCTGACAAACTAAACACCTCCCCCAGGAACCAAACAAGAAAATGTTCACTTTTTTCTCTTCTCTAACAAAATATCTCAGGCAGCAGCCAATGCCATTATATGACAGCAGCAGAGAAAGCAAAAAACCAGCCATGTATGTTTCTTCAAAGAGTAAGATCACCCTTCCCCTTACATCCCAACTGCAGGTTAAAGCATCAGAGCTCAAAGGCCACAGGCATGAAAATTACTTTGTTACTATTTCAGATTCCAATAAGGTAACTGTGTAGAATTTAATACATACATGTTCCACAGCAGATAGGAATCCAACTGTAGTTTCACTTAAATACACAAATAACAATAATAAACATGTAGTGAAAAATCTGGTTATAAAATGAGAAACAAGTTATTAGACAAACTACCAACACTCCCTTACCTACAGAAAATTCCTTACATGATGATCTGAAACTGGTGAAATCTCATGAAGTGACTTGTAATGGACAAAATGGTATTTGCAGACAAATGAAACCTTTTTAATTGTAATTACAATTTACTTACGAAGTCCTCAGCCTCAAACTGGTTGGGTACATCTTTTTCTTCCTTTTTCCGGGTTTCATTACCAAATACACTCTTTTCACACAGTCCCTGGCCTTTTCCACAATGGAAGGTGCTGCTACGAGTACGGGAACCTCCACCATGGTAACCTCCACGTTGGTTTATATTTTCTGGAGCATTTCTGCCTTGTGAACGCCAGCCATTCCTCTCTTTTCGCCCAAAATGCCCTTGGATTTTAAATTTTTAAATAAATGTAATTACAAACCATTTAAAAATAGTATTTTACTCTGCAGAATTGTTAAAAAAGTTGAATCACAAGCTCTATACACAAGTTTTCATTCACATAAGCAGCAGGGAAGGATCTCACAAAACAGTGGCAGAGAGAAAATAGCCAGTCAATGCTACAACAAGTCAACCTCTCTTTCTGGCTACTCATTTTATATGTTGTTGGCTAGAGTATTAACTCAACACTCGTATTCTACCCAAGAGAGAAATACACCTGGAATCGCATCACTTTAGCCAACCCTTATGCTCACATCCTCTCCCAGATTAGTCTTTCCATTACCTCTCTTTCACTGGAGAAAAAGCATTTAGCACACATGAGCTGTCTTCATTAGACTTCCTTTCTAGCTAGTGCTACAAAGAAATGACACAAACATATTCACAGTGTTCCATAAATTATACCTCCATTTGTCCTTCCAGTGTTAGGATCAAACCCTTCCGAAGAATTGTGTCTTCTGCGATTTGCTTCATAACGATTCTCTGCCCATGAAAAATTTTCAGAATGTTTCTCAAAATTCAGTGATGACTGCAAAGGAGCATAAATGGTAGACCTGAGATCTGATTGCTAACAACTTAATCATCAGAACTGTAACATGCACATTGTTGACAGTATATAATTCATTCTTACAAGAACTTTGAACGACAGACAATGCAGCAGTCCTCTCATGCAGAGCTGTGTCACCATCTCTCAGGCTAACAAAGTGGAAGCTGCATCTTCTGACCCAGGACACTGAAACAGCCCTTACGTCACATGCCTGTGACACAAGGTAAGAAGTGTCTACTTTGTTTTGGCAGCAAAAGAGAGCAAAAGTGACATGCGTTGCAGCAGAAGAATTTTTTTTTTTAAATATAAGAAAGGACAGAAGATCACAACTTGGAAGGCTGAGAAGAAGTCTGGGATCTTAATCTGGATTTTCAGAGACTACATACAGGCATTCCATAGAAAGCAAGGAATCCCTTCCACCCCAGGCAGCTATACTCAAACAAAACTTAATTCATTAATCTTGTCATTATTACAATTTAAAAAGGCAAATACAAGTAGTTATGAAATACTAATAAAATCTAGAATCAGAAGTGCCCAGATTCACAAAGATACTTCAAATTTTCAGCTTATCAGCACACATTAAAAAAAATTTAAAGAAATAAATCTTTAATATATCAGTAGGAAGTAGTAAACTAAAATCTTATCTTGAAAACAGCACCAAGAAATCAAACTACATCCTGACTAGAATTCATACCTAAAGGGATTAAACCAAAAAACATTTTTCCTTACACAACCCATATCTTCCTTATAACTTCTCTCTGAGTGTACCTTTAAACTTACTTCCTTCTTCCCACCTAACCCACACAGGAAATCACACACACAAAAAAAGATCCCCAAAGCTCTATGGAAAACGCCCCTGTAGAGCTCAAGGTGCTGTTCCATATTCATTGCTTAAAATTTAAACTCAAATAAGCATATCGACAAAAATCAAAGCAGGTATTTTTAGACTGTTAATTTTTAGAAGTCAAATGTACAGGGACTACCCTCTCAATCTGAGACATGGGACATGAATTACTTGACAAACTCTCCTTGGAGACAGCAAGACCAGAAGACTGCAAAAGATTGCTAAAATAAAAGTACTTCAAAAATTACCAAATTAATCTAAATATTTACATGAAAGAAAATCCTTAAACAGATTTTGACTGAGCTGTCAAAAATTAGAGAAAGCACTAGATCTGCCAATCTTAGGTGAAATTTTAGAAGATACTTCATGTGTTCATTTACATACAACAACTTCTAAAGATTGTTTTTGGAATTCAACTTTCTTTTTTTGTATGACCTTCAAAACAATCAACGTTTTTCAAAGTATAACTGACAGCATTTTATATGATGTGTTTGAGTCGTACATGCTATCAGGAATCCGACGCTCCTGAACCGTGTGCAAAGATCACGCAGTTTGCATTTTCCCCACATGATGGAGATACCTGCCTATGAAGCCTCTCGAGGCAGAGATGACAGTAAGTTTCCTAATCGAAAGGAAATGTATTGATTATTTCTGTTAGTTGAGAAACTATCTGACTCAGTTCAGCCAATCAAGAAAAAGGGATAGAAACAACATAGATTTTAAGAAATACAGGAAGTCTAACTGCTTATCAAGAAGTAAAAGAGAACTGTAAAACTGCCTTTATCTATCTGCAATGTTCCCATACCCTTTTCACAGCAATATTTTCTTAAAAGTTCTGTCCATGTCCCAAAATGGTTTCAGTATTCACAACACCTTCCCATTCCAGCTGCCCATCTGTAATACTGCACCGACACAACACATTAGCTCCAGACCTGGACAAAACCCACTGAGTGACAGATACAACTCTATTTAGGTGGATTTTGCTGTGTAGTTGACAGAGAGACGAGAAAAGCTTGCTGTTAAATGGAAATCAGAAGCAATAGATGAGATAGATTTCAATCAAGCTACAATCTGTATATCACATTAAAAAGCTCATTCACAATCACAGTTTCCTGGTAGCAGGTTTCTGTAATGTCAGCCTTGACCTATGTAAGGAAAAACATCTCAGCTACCCAGGGCTCAAGGGGAAAACCAGGGTCCTATAGGTGTATTCTCTGAAAGTGATCACATCTCAGGTATATAAAAATTGACTAAGCAGAGCTCAGATTCTACTTCTCAAATGTTTAAAATGTTAAAATGCTGCTGATACCATAGTCTCACCCCAGCTCCATTCTGCATGAAACATGAGATACCTTGCCTTCCTCACCCCTTCCTCTTCATCTCCTGCTTTTCTCTTCTGCTTTTTTTGATACACAGCAGAAAATAAGTCTATTTTAGGAAATAAAAGGGACAGGGAGCCACAACACTTGTGACCTGCCTTGTGGAGGACTCACAAGTCTTATTCTGCAAACTAAGAACTACAAACAGACTTTTCAAGCACTTAAAATCCAAATGGGCTGTGTATCACAGAACGCTCATCATTGAGGGAGCAGGTAATACAGGGAAATAAGGTGCATTCCAACAAATATTACAACAGAGTAATACATACAACATGGAGTTTCTGAAAGAGGAGAAAATCTAACTAAACTCCACGAGGCAAATAATCATCGAAGAGGAAAGGAAAAATGCACCCGCAAAAAGATTTCACGCAATTCAGAAATGAGGTGACAAATATAACCCATACTTCAGATATATTCTAGTGGTGCTAGAGTACTTCTGAAACTTTGTTTTATCCTGCTATATTGGCACATAAAGCATGCAGGTAAAGCTCTTCAGCAGACTCTCTAAATATGTAGTGAACATTGTTTTGCAATTGTGACATCACATCAATTAAGCTCCAGATACTTTTCCAATTTAAAACATATTACATTGAAAAAATCAGATCAAAAGAGTTGAATGAATCAGAAATCATAGAGAATTAAAACAAAGAGACTGCTTCTTAATTTGGATTTTCAGACACTATGTATCCTGGAACAGACAGGCTTTATGTTCCCAGAAACAGACTATACTAAACAAAGAATCTAGCTTGGTCAGGGTAAAAGAGACTTAAACAAAGTGATATAAATGAGGACATTCAATGATCTGACTAAAAAAAATGTGTTTATGTATGTGTAGACATACAGAATCAAAGCATTAGGAACACAATTAACACTGCCATCTCCCCACGCATTTAACAATACCATAAAGCCTATTGCCCTAAGTTTCTCAAGGCCAAGCATTTTTCATGGAGGTGACAGACTGCACAAAGTTTCTATTTTAAAAAAAAACAAAGCAATTCTCATAGCAGCAGTTATAAATATTGAATTCAAACTATTATAATGAAGATAGGTCTACAAATAGGGAAACAGATAACAGGAGTTTTAATCTCCACGGCTGACCCTGCTTCTGCATTTGCACAAATTAAGAAAGAGTAGAAAAAACATTGCTGAGATAGACTTCCAGGAATATTTACTAATTCTAACAATTAAGAGATTGTTATTTCCCATTTCCAAGCTGTCCCATTACATAAAGGAACAGTAGTCTAAACAGCGTGGAGATGCCTAACAGTATGAAAGTACCACACTCCACCAGCAGCAACAAGCATTTCACCATCAACTGCAGAGCCACTTCAGAAACTCCAAAAAAGCATAGTTTTAATCACTTGGATGACAGAATAATACTCCCTTAAAATTTAAAGGACACAATTAAAAATCAGAAACAAGAACATCAAGAACATGCTTTGTCTTGGTACTTCTAGCATGGAACACAAAGTATTTAAGTTTAAACACCTGAAGAAGGCAGTCTTAAACCAACCACAGCCAAGGCCAGATATGCATTTCTCTCCATGAACTAAGCTGCTGAAGCAAAAAACTCTACTGCAGTCATCTGTCATCACAGTATTCATGAAGAGATTGGCATTTTTACTGTGATTGAGGTTATGACATTTAGACTTCCCTAATAATGAGAGTGCCTTTTCAAAACAACAATACAAAACACACCTTTGTTGATGATGGTGGAGTAGGAAAATTAAGCCAGGCTGGAGCAAAGTCATGCTGCGCCATTTAGGTCCAGTCTCTCCGAATCAATGAAAAAAGGCTTAGCACCTCATGGCAAGTCCCTGTAATCAGAAGAAAATACAAGGGGATTACACTTCTTGTCTTTTGCTCAGTATTTCACTTCTGTTTTCCTGTATTGTTTTCCTCATAGATCTGATTTAGAATCTATCATCATATCATTTACAGCACCAAATCTGTGTTTTTATTACTAAAATGTCACATAAATCAAATATATCACAGGAATTATGAAAATATAAATGTAACACTTCTTTCTTTATTTCCTCCTATGAATGGGATGAAGCATCTTGTGTAAGGTCTGATCAAGAACACTATGGCAAAACTAGCTTGCTGAAATACATTCTGGTACTATTTAGAAGGGACTTGGCAAGCTATTTTGTTAGCTTCCTAGAAGCTGATATTTTTAATTAATCCCTAATAGTAAGTCTCAGCGGCCATATGAAAATTCCTTACGAAAAACCTACATACTTGGGCTCATTACAAACCTCACAATGACTCTATGTCTCCTCTCTTCAATGGAAACAGAGTCTATATGTCCAGAGTAGCAAAATCCAGTAAAATTCTCTAGCTTGAAAATGGGCCAAACAACATAATGGTTTACTATTAAAACCCACAAATACTTTTTCTACCCTACACTCTTTTTACAGGTAAGAAAATATTTCTCAATAGGCAAGAGAATACAAGGTAATGTGAACTATATTACCTGAAGCTGAACTGCAGCAGAGACAGGAAAGAAACGGATTAAACACTTCCTGAATTATACTAGGGCAACGAAACCATGCTCTGCAGCTAGTCACAGCAAAATGGTCAATGACTCAAAAAATTTCTAAGTATGATATACATGCTATTAGAAATCCAGCTCGTGAAAACATAATAAACATCCACAGACATTCTATAGGGAGGCCCAAATAAATGTGAATTCCACATCTCTGCACAGCAGAGTGCAAATCTGTTACTGAGCACAGATATAACTAACTTTAATCTGTGGCTGCTGTAATGTATTGGTAAGAGATGTGGAATCTGAACTTGGTAACTCATAATTATGGTTGTTCTCCAGCCTGAATCTGAATATTGCAGGCTACTGCACATTTCCATCGACAGACAAGACTGTTTCAGCTTCTAAAAGGAAGTCTAATAGATTTGTTAGATTTGACTTAGTGTGAGACTGTACTTAGTTGAGCTGCTGTATGTTTTTAATGACGTGAGCTCATATGTAAGTTTTTCGGAACATCCAATACCATGGATAAACTGTAGGGTAGGACGAACAATTAATACAGTTAAACAGGGACAAGGTTAAAGATATGTCTCACCCAAATAACTAACTTAAAATTACTCTGCTGAAGTCATTCAACTCACTCCTACACCAACTTCAGCAAAAAATCCAGAGAAAATTTCTAAGTATTTCCAGTTATATCAAACTAGTAAAATATAAATGAACAAAATTCTGGAGTCAATGAACCATCATAGAAATGGCTTCTCTTCCTAAAAGGAAGCACGTTCACTTTTACTGATGTATCCCATGCAGCAACAGTATATGAAAGGGCATATGTTTACAAATGAACCAAAAGATGTTAAATTAAGAAACAACAAATATGAGCAGATTCCAGCAAGAAAAAAGTTTATTCTCCTTCACTTGGACACAGTTCTCTTCAAGCAGAAGAATCATGATATCTTCAGAAATTATCAACACAGATTTTCAGTACTGAAAGATTGACACAACAACAACAAAGTCTTCAGACTGAGGCACTTACAGTCTGAAAAGCAGTAAGTAAGAGTAGGTTTATACTAAGTGAGAACTTAAAGATTCCACAATGTACCACCAAGTTATTTGTGCATCAGCTATTAATTACAGCACAGAAAATCCACTAACAATGTGACTTCATAGATTTATATTAACGTTTTTAGAAAACTAGTCAAGCTTCCTAACATTATTTATGCAACTGCCACAAGAAGAGTTTGTTATTAACTCACTATCATACTTACCTTTTATCCTTTGCACAAAAGACTGCGTGATCACCAAGTAACCAAGGACTGGAAAAGGTATTTTGCAAAAAGACCTTTTCCCACAGCTTACCGACACTGGCTACCTATTTCTTCATGCAAAAATTTTTCTAGAAGCAGATTCAAGTCTTCCTCATGTTCTCAGCTAAAAACGTTCTGAAAAAAAATTGATATTGTGCTCTGTCGTGTGAGTCAGCCCTTTTCTTAGAAAGAAATAAACTTAAGTGGTTAAGGCAGAGACCTGCACCAAAACTACACAATACTCAGAGCCAAGTCAGCAACAGAATATATATGTAAGTTTCAATAAACCCATAAAAGACAAACTTTTAGGGCTAATTCTTCCAAATAGTTTTAACAAAAAAAAAACAGCAAGAAAAAAAGCACAGACCAATTTCTGGAAACTATCTGACCCAACTCAGAGGTTTGCAGTTAGGCATTAACATGAAAAACAACTCCTGTGATACTCCACGCCTAAGTCAAGAAAACATTTTCTTTCACTTAATTGTACATATGCCTGGTCCAGCAATTAGACATGGGAACAGAGAGTTCTTTCATTATTAAACCTTTCTAACTTTGAATAGGCACAAACATCCCAGACATAATTAAACTGGGAAACAAAGGGCAGGTCAGGAAAAGATATTTTAAAACTGTATTAGAGGACATAGTCTACCCAGCTTAAAGTTACTGGTTCCATATTTTACCAGGTTTCATAAACATTCTTACAGCTGCCAGCTTTCTGATGTTGCCAACAAGTTTGACCTATATATAAGAAATAATATTATAAGTATGATCTCTGTTCAAATGATCTGACACATATTTGATAGCTCTAGGGTACTCTTCATTCTCAGGAAGGTATTTTTGAAAGGTGAAAATGTGAAATCTAAAAACAGATCACAAAACATAAGAATGGGATGTCAGCAAGGCACCCCCACTGCCACAGGCAGGATTTACTAAGCTTAAACCCTTTGTGATCAGCTTGGCTGCCAACACTAATGCATTTCTTGCTTGTTTTCCAACTTCAGTTGGACCAACAACTATCAAATTATACTGCAACACATTCTAACATTATAAAGGTTCTTTCTACCTTCTTTCCCTGCTATTCAGGTCCGTACCTAAGCTATGCCAAAGAGTCAGAGATGCATCTACATTCTATGTCCACGAAAGCATTTGCAACCTTTCTTCAGGTTGCCTACATACCATCTACTACTTTTAAATTAAACAAAAACAACATTTAAAGTATTTTAATAGAACAAATGTCAGTAGCATAAAATTGCTTTTATTACTGACATGAAACTATACATCTACCAGGAAGTTTTCTCTTGCATACACACAACACAAACACCGTTCAGTAACTAATAAAGCAGCTGATGCACTCCCAGCATTAACAGAAGTAAACCTAGTGAGGTAAACACCACAGAGTCAAACACAATTCCAGGGCTTTCAGAAACTCTCCTGGTAACAAAAGAGCAGGCCCAAAATTCATAATGAATGTTTAAGTTACCATTCCCTATCTGAACTGCCATTCTCTAACTGAACTGTGGTAAAAGCTAACTTGGCTCAGACTCTCAGCTACTGAAGCAGAGCTGCACAACTCTAGAAAGAAAAAGATACTGAAATATGGCTATCCTCATACTATTAACACTCAAATACATTTAAAAGTCTTTAGTCTGACTGGTCAAACTATTGTCTTATCTCAGCAAAAGCCTCTTGTGACCAATTCAAGTAAAGTGTAGTGACCTTAGTGACCTCAATAACAAAAGTGTTCCATAGCCCATAAATTTAGATAAAAGTGATGTGTTGCTGTGTTGTGGATAATAGAATAGTTTAGTGTGAAGAAAGAAATCCTGTTCTTAAGTTTTACATCTTGAGGGAGGATCTGAAAGAAGTCTGTAAAGAATTTTGCTTTAAGTAACATGCAGTAATTAATCCAATATTCAATTAAATAAAAATTAATTCTGAGAAGAAGAAGTTTTATGAAGTATGATCTTCAATAATAAGGTACTGACTGCGAAGGAATAATGAACAGATGATTCCAGATGATATACAGTGAAGAGATTTATCATAAATATTACTCAGTCATCTGCTTTGAGCCACATTTGCAGCTGAAATAAGACTCCACAAAATACACCCAACCAACGTACAGAAAAGGTTGGGCTGGGCTTTTTTTATGATTGAGTCAACAAGGTCCTTTTGTAACAGAAACTATTTCTTACCTGTTGTAAACCAGTAAGAAACCCTATATTCTAAACGAATTTGTGTTATCTGCATAGTATCTCGGGAAAGTTGATGTATAGTCTCTGTCTTACAAAAATAAGTAACATGCTACAAAAAGGGAGTCAGAAACCTACTGCATGAATCAAAGTCAAGACTTCCGGGAAAAGGCTAAGAAACAACTCTTAGGGTCAACACCCAAACCTGCAAAAACAACAAAAATTAAGTCAAAACAAGTACCACTAGTTTATCTTGTACTTACCAAATTTAATGAAGAAATCAAACAGTAAAGACTATAGTCAATTTTCCTCACACTACTACATTTTTCTTTTTAAATTCACACAAAACAAGTGAAATCACACTTAAGAACAACAATAGAGGGATTCAACACTTTACTTGATGCAATAACAAACTATTCCAGGGATCAGGGACATGAAATGTCTAAGGAATCTGGCTTACTTTGCCTCACAAAATGAAGACATAAGACTTATTTAAAAAGTGGTTATGAACATCTAAAGGAGAAAATTTCAGCAAGAAAGGAGATGTGTTAATCCAATACACCACCAGAATCACAGGGTATCAATCACAGCAGATTGAAGGTGGACAGACACATGGTCCTGAAAATCATAAGAACAATATTCTGAAATAGCTTTAAGACTCAGACAAATATTTGAACCTGTCGATTTCTATTATACTTCTAAATCAGACCCCAATAATTGTAACTAAAGAGTTTAGCATGCAGGATGGTGCATTACACAGAAGTAACACTGTAAGAGCTAATCCACTTTTTTCCCTATTTTCAGTGCTAACCACGCAAGTGTGATGTCTCTCCAGCAACTTTTTTCTCTCTCCTCAGCTATTTGAAATAAATATACAGTTTAAAAAATGAATTTTTTAAGCACAAAGAACACCCATTACAACTAAAATGTAAGTAAAATTCTGGTTTTTCCTGCAATAACATAAATAGAATTCAACACAATACAAAAACAGAGAATACCCTTCTATTCATGAATTTTTATATTAGCCTGGTTTCCGATTACTTTAGCAAAGTGCTTCCTCAAACTTCATCTTAATACTAAAATTTTCACCTTATCTGCAACTATTCACTATTACTGGTACAAGCAAACTTACTAGCATTTAAGTTTCATTTGCAAAACTTGTTTATAACACACAGATCAAGGAGATGCAGATAAACAAACTAGCTGAAATAGTGTTATGGAGTACATCTTGGCTCTAACAAACACAATTTGTGCCATTTTAATAAAGTTCTGTAACTTCTTGCAGTAAAGATTAATTTATTTTAACAGTTGGGGTTTCTTTCTCTATTTATTTACCGGGAGGAGGGGGTGGAGGACACAGGCAGAACAAAATGCTTGCTCATTCTCACACCATTTGTGCTAAATTTGGGACGGCTGCCACCACAGCCATGCTAGTCATGGATTTCATGCTGTTCACTCCGAGGCAATTCCACCAAGCAGGCGGACTGGAGTACATGGCACTACTTTCCAACCCCTAGTGAAGCCCAAGAGCACCACAGGCTATGCACAGTGCAGAACTCCTGCAGGTATCTGTTACTCCAGATTGTATCTCTGTGCAGTACAAAAAAAAATGGGAATACACTGCAGTGACATACCAGAGTCAGTACAGGGTAACTGCAGAGCCACTTCAGGCAGAATGTGTGTGAATGTACCACCTCACTAATGCTGCAGTACACCAGGAAGCACTTGTGCTGCCAAATGTTATGAAGAAAAAGGGTAAGACATGAACACAGACCTAGACTATTTTTCCCCCATGCCAAGCATCTCTAAAACACTGAAAACAGTTAGCACAGACAAAGCTTTAAAATAAATAAAATGAAAAATAAAATAAACTAAAAATAAAATAAAATAAAATAAAAATAAACTAAAAATAAATTACAAATAAAGTAAAAATAAGATCTTAAATAAAAAGCAATGAAGTTTTTAAAAAATAAAATAAGAATGTCTCAGCTCATACTGTAGAAAATTTACAGTGTAAGCAGACTACTATCACATAGTAGAAACTCATATAAAGTCTTCTGCCCTGCCTTTAATGACACAGTAGAATAGAAAATTCCTTGACAAAAGTATTTAATCTGGCCTTAAATGTATAATGAAAACAAAGGCTACTTACAGAAAAACATAATTCACCTGATCACTTGTGGTCCCTTTTAAAGACAATTGTTTACCCAGAATTTCTTCTAGATTTAATTGTATTAATCAAACTTTTACAGCGTTAAAAAATTAATCTCCCTTTAAGATTTACACAACACTGAAACCCGCCACAGAGCATCTCTGGAATACAGGAATCAGAAAAGTGACTGTTGTGAGAATTGAGCTGGAGGCAATCTCTGCACTGTCTGTGAGGCGGACACGAGAGCCCATAGATGGCAGGGCAAAAGAAATCACCTTCTGAAATACTGCAAGATGGCAGGGCAGAGAAAGCAGATGTAATAAAAGCATTTGGGATTTCAGTTCTCTTGTACTGAGAGTCTCTAGTCCCATTAATAGTATTAACAAACCTAAAGTCTCCCTCATCATTTGCATCTTCACACAGTTCTACATGAGAAGTGAGTTTAATGGCTTACTAATTTTAAATTTGGAAAGGACTTGAAAAATTAAAACATAACATCCAAAGATAACTCTGAAAGACTAATGGCCAACTTGTACTTCCTTAAACTTCAATCTAAGACTAATGGCCAACTTTTACCTCCCTACAACTTCAAACCAAGTATCAGTCTCTGCCGATTGGAAAGATACTGCGGTCTCTTTATTATCTTTGTGGTCCTTTACTGAACTCTCTCCGCCAAGCCTCACATTTTCTTGTTTCAGTGAGCCTGTAAGAGTGTTACAAATCCTGGAAGGGTGACACAGTCCTCCACACGTGGCTCACCAAGTCTACATACAGGACAAAACTGAACGCCCCTT